CCCTTTGCATGCTGTCTTGGGACTAAGCCTCATTGAAATCTGTGAGACTTAATTCTGAGTTAACACACATAGGGTTGCACTGTAAACGCCCCAAAATGTTTCTATATGGGAATGATAAACTATGCAGGGAATGTATAAAACCTTAAAGATTATTTCAAAGTGATATATTTGTGTGTGCGAGAATTAGCTACCAAAAATTTGTGAAAAAGCAAAAGGTATTTGTGTACCAACACATTGCACCTCTTGAAGTAATTCAGGTTGTTTCTGATTTCTTTTCACTGCCAGATATTTAATTAGTATTATTTCCTTTTGAATTTGTATAGTATTTGCTTCTTAAGTTTGGGAAATTCATTTCCCCCCTATATAAATATAATTGGGTTTTGTGTATGTATTTTATCAAGTTGCAAATGGTTGTACATTTATTTTGTACAGACTTCTAAATTAATGTAGCAGTTTGTAATATGAAAGTGCTTGAGGTGCCTATATCAGAATAGTACTTTTTGATGATGCTATCCTGCACGTAATATTTGATCCACTGTCCAGTAATAAACTACTGAACAGTTATAGTCACGATTGCACGTGCTGCTTTTTGGGGGGTGGGGATGAGATTTAGTTAATGATAAAATCCTATATCCTCACAGCTGTTGTTGTTTTAAGAAAGAATTTTTGAAATAATATGCTTACTGTGTTTTAAATTAGCCCATGTCAAAATCTAGGTGTTGTTAGTCACACTACTTTAATCTTGTATTCCAAATCAGTAAAATGCATTTGCTTCCCCTGCTTGACTGTTTTGGACTTCTTTGTGTTAGACAGTTGACCCAATCCATAAGACATAAGGCGATGAACCAACAGACTGTTGGTTCACCTAGTTCAGAACTATTTGCACTGACAAGCCGTGGTCTCCAGGGTGTCAGACAAGGGACTTTCTGAGCCCTGCATAAGGCACCAAGGATTGAATCTGGAACGTTTTTCACAGTCTTTCCAGTTAAACTTAGTTATGAAAGCAATGCTGCTTAACTTAGTTGCAGCTATATTCCATTGGTGTTGGTGAGTCTTAATCATAACAAACGTTAGCTGGTTTGGAGGCAATGTAGTGTAAGGTTACCAGATTTTTTTCCAATGAATCCGGGGAAACTTTTCAACGTCAATGGATTTTGTATGGGGACTGATTTGTAAATCCAGGTTCTGTCCCCGAGAAACAGGAACATCTGGTAACCTTAATGTAGTGGCAATGCACTACCAACAACATCATGAATGGAGATTTGCTGCCTTTCAGTTTCTTCTTTTGCGTATTTTAAAGTGCTTCCACTTTAAAATAGGGTTTAATATGGCAAACAGGTTGTTCCTGTATCACAAATGGGTACTTGCCAACAGCCCCCCCCCCATCTTACCATATATTCTGAGGAAAAGATTAAATGGAGGGAGATTAAATTGAGGGAGGAATATCACCCATCCTTTTGATGCCAACATTGTTGTATGGACACTGTATACATGAGGAGCACAATAAACCCCCAATAAACCCTAGTCCGGAAGCCGCTAAGTCTCACTAGGTTGAAAGAGACTTACACACAAGGATACATGAGATTATAGGTTGGGCCATTAATATTGATCAGAAGGTAAAGTAGAATGCCTTTAAAATGTACCATGGAAGTGGTAACAGGTTCTGTGAAAACATGCACACAAAAATGTTTTTATGGCGTCAATAGTGAATTGGAAAATAATAGTGTAAATGTAAAGGTTTAAAATGAAGTACATTGAATATGCAGTGGGCAAGTTATTACCTGGATTAAAAAAAAAACAATTATTGTGTACTAATAGGAAGTAAATACCCTATAATTGGGAAAAAAAGACTGCACAAATATATTTTACACTTTCCTTGACAAATCTTGATGTATAAACTTGGAAAACATAAGGGCTGAAAAACAAAATTGCTTGTTTCCAGTCCTTGCACATGTTTTGCAATCTCAATTTCAGATATATCCATGTAATTCTAAGGGCAGCTATCTATGATTGTTTTCAATAAAATTTGAGATTCTCTGAGATCTAATGAGAACGTTAAATTGGTATTTTGAAAACTACAGGAAGCCTTAAAATGATATATTCTATTCATGGTCTCTGTCATATTTTATTAAAAGATTTTCCTGAGGATCTCCTGGTAGGGTATTTGCCTATCAGACACCAGCACAAATAGTTATGCTACGGGCATGGGTAAAACTGTAATTAACCTGTTAAATAGAAAGTATACTTAGATAAATAAGGTAAGATAGTCCAGACACAAAAACCCAAGGCTAGAATAGAGCTTCATTAGGTTTGACTTTGAATTATGACCATAAAAATAATGGGGAGTACCTTGCATTGGTGAGTTTATGGTGAGTTTCTAATGATGCTGGGAAAGATTGAGGGTACAAGGAGAAGGGGACGACAGAGGATGAGATGGTTGGACAGTGTTCTCGAAGCTACGAACAGGAGTTTGACCAAGCTGCGGGAGGCAGTGGAAGACAGGAGTGCCTGGCATGCTCTGGTCCATGGGGTCACAAAGAGTTGGACACGACTAAACGACTAAACAAAAATAAATAAATGATACAGCAGAATAATAAACAACCCAGTACTGAATCTACTTGCATAGCCATACGAAACATTTCAGTTATATATGGTTATTCAGTACAACATAGTCTGGATAGTTTAGGTGAATAGCCATATGATAATTGAGTAATGTATGGCCTATAGCTTTATCAATACCTTCTAGTATAATAAATGTGTTTGTAGTGTTAGGTTGACAGTCATACTGTTATGAGGTTTATGCACATCTTAATGCACTGCATTTGGTTGGCTAAGAATGTTAATGACCACTTTGCCAGTGATGGGTTGATTATGGTTTTGGCTGACATATTTTGCCTGTAATGAAGAGGCAATTTGAGGGTTGCACCACAGGCTATGATCACACTTGGAACTGCCCCCATAAAAATGGCACCTCTATTGTAAAGTTGTTTCTAGAAATGACCTCCAGGTTGTTAGTGTAGTTCTGCTAATGCTACAACATGGAGGCAGCAGTGCAGGCAGGGTGCCAGTATTTACAGCATTGTGTCAATGAGGCTCATTCAGAATAACTGCCCAACGTTGCTGTAAAAGAATTAACAGCTGTTGCTTTGCACCCAATCCATAATTGCAACAGAGGGTGAATTTAAGATAAGAACAATTAGCCTATAGCTCAGTACACTTTCCAAATCCCACCATACATAAGATGGCTCATTCAGACCAGACAATCCTTTTCATTGCTCAGCTGGGCATAGGCTATTGTGTGTGTGTGTGTGTGTGTGTGTGTGCATGCGCGCACACACAATTATTTAGTCATATGCATATTTTAATTTTTTTATTATGCTCCTGATGCCGCTATTGGAAGCATGATACGATGTATATTCATGCTGATTCTTAAGTGCAGTGGAATGTGTGTTTATATATATATATATTTGTAAGTGTGTGTATATATATATTGTCTGTGTGTATGAGAAACAGATGCACTGTAGGCAGATAAAGTAGATAAATATAGATTCAAATAGAAGCATAAGTGTATAAATATAGACACTATATGGAGTGAAGGCAGGCAGATCAGCACAGTTTCATTATTACTTGTATTCTGTATAATAAAAGAGTAGCTGACATTAAAATGACTGACTGAATGACACTGTCAGATTGCAGAAGACGCAGTGTAAGGTAAGAAAATAACCTTTCTAGCAGTTTGAAGAGCAATTAAGCAAGAAGATTCAGTGTCTTTCATTATTTGCTTAATATATTTCTACTGGATTTTATTTTTGCATTTGGAGGGCAGAAGCAAAACATGAATCCTTACTATATCCTAAAATAAATTTCTAAATAAATTAAATAATTAATAATAACCCTAGCTTTGCAACATAGTGTGGGGCAGCTGTCCCGTTTCTTTAAGTATAGATTTCTCAATTTTTTGCTTTTACTGATCACCCGGTGGGCTTTACCACAGAGTTTTAGATGGCAATTGATGAAGAAAATATGGTAGAAAATTCTGCATTGGTTAAAAAAGGGGTTTTCATTGGATGTCTGATAAAGCCTCTGTGTTGTGTGTTTTGTGAGTTTCCAAGTGTTGTGCTTATCATATTTTGATCTTGTCATATCTGCTCTTTAGATTTGCTACTATGAAATGGTATTGGACTCAAACAATGAACCTAGCTGCATTTTGCTAGAGTAGATTACTCTCACAAAACAACCACCGCATTAACTTTTAACATCTTCATTGATTTCTACTTTCCCCTGTTACTTTCTTGGACAACAATGATCATGAATGTCTGAATCTAAATTGTCCACACTTGCATCAATTTCAAACAGCCTGCTTCTCACGCGAAGTCCTGTGCGTGTAAAAACCAATAGTTTTACTCTATTTCCCCTAAAAACAGAATAAGTAACAGAGAAAGATTCTGTGGATTTAAACATGGAAAAAAATCTTAGTTCAGGTGAGACCTTGAGTGTTTTTAAAAGCCTTGACTATACCATTGCAAGTATCTCAGTGCCATTAGCACACCTGAGAACTGCATCACATGGCGGAGCTTCAGTTGAAAGTATGGTTTGGGGTGTGAATTTTCGCTCTATATCAGCCTTCCCCAACCTAGTACCCTCCAGATATTTTGAACTACAAACTATACTGGGTGGGTGGGTGGGAGCTGTGGTCCAGAGTCTCCCAACCTCCCTGGAGCAGATTTGGAGGTTCATGGTAGAGGAAAGGAGGAGGCTTATTGTATTAGCACACACCCTCTCAGTTCTAGGTTGGATTTCACCCATTGATCAACTTACTATAAATCATTATTTCTTTTGAATGTGTAGAAAATGTGCTACAACTGTTGCTATGTAGGATGAGTAAGTTTAAAGCACAGACTGATCCCTCCCTTCTCTCACACATATTTAGTTCTATTATTTTTATATGTATGAAAATGCAATATGGAGCCCCACTCTAACTCGGTGTTTCTCTTGAATAGCTTCCGTCGTGCTGTAATCAGTTCCAGAATGATGGAACTTGGGAGATTCATGTGACTAATGAAAGCCATTCGGAGATAAAAAGGTAAGTTGTAAAATTGAGGACCAAACTTGATGTTGCATGACAGAGTTGCCTCCATCCTGTATCTCACTGCATCCTCATGTAACAAGTATCTTGTGATGTGATGTTACTGTGTCCTTTGCTTTCCGCTCACCCACCCCACATCACTGGCTGGTGTGGGGGTGAGAAGACACATGCTACAATACTTACTGTTGGCATTGTGTGTGTGTGTGTGTGTGTGTGTGTGTGTGTGTGTGTATGCGCCACACACACACTTTTAATGAGAAGGTTTGTTTGTCTGCTTGGAGCTTTAGTTCCTTGTTCATAAATAGTACTACCTATCCCTTCCCACTCCCCCCCCGGTTACCCCTAGGTAAAGGTAAAGGGACCCCTGACCGTTAGGTCCAGTTGCAAATGACTCTGGGGTTGTGATGCTCATCTCGCTTTATTGGCCGAGGGAGCCGGCGTACATCTTCCGGGTCATGTGGCCAGCATGGCTAAGCCGCTTCTGGCGAACCAGAGCAGTGCATGGAAATGCCGTCTAACCCCTACTTCACCTGTATAATTTAGTCACTATATTGCAGGAAATTCCAAATGCCAGGCAACCATATCTCTTTCCTTTACACATATGCATTATGAAACTGTATTTAATTTGTCAAGCAAACTTTTGTCAATACAATATATAATCCTTTCTTAGAGTTAAATGTATTTGAGTAGGGGTTTTAGGGGGTCATGTTTCTGTTTTGCTACTTACATTAAATATTTTAAAGGCAAACTCAAGCATATAAGTTGAAACATTAGAAAACTATAATTTTTGAAAGTTATGTATTGTGCATGAATATTCAGATGCACAACCCCAATCCCACCTGCCGTTTGAAATAGCATAGCCCAGGAAAAAGCTTTTGTTCTGGATTCTATCAATTGTATTGCATCAACCAGCCCTAACTCGACTCTTGAGATGCCTTCTTTCATTGTCTCTGCTGAAGAGGATATAGTTAGTGATGGAAAGAGCTCTTGTGGAAGTCCACCTCTTGTTTTGCTTAATTCAGTTTTTTCATTCAGTTCCCGATTCTGTTCCCTTTGATGTCAATGGAAAATGGCCTGTTGAGTCAAAGAAGGACAAGAATTCCTGGGTACATTTGAATACCACTTAAAATTTTCAGGGTCAGTAGAAAGCTTTCGGCTTTGGGGCTTCCTGAGTTTTGTCAGCAAGTGAGACAATGCACAGTGAATGAAAGAAGGCTCTTGCCAGATTTAAGCATTCTGTCCTCCCTGACAGAGTTGATTCAGTACTACAGCTGTTCAAAATAAATGGTGCAAAAAGCACTTTATAATGCTCCCCCCGTCTAATTGTATTGAGGACTAAATTAATAAATCCCCCTTTTTTTGCCCTTTCTGATTGGAAATCAATTTTAGAAAAAGTTCATGCGGGTATCTGGATCTAGTGTTAGAAGTCTGGAGGGAGTAGACTCTGGGAAAGTGATATTGGTCATGCCTGTAAATGGCAAATACATGCCCTTTTTAATCTATTGATATCAGTAGGGTGGAGATAAATTAAATTCCTGTAAATAATCACTGGCTGTATATCTTAGTTAGCTATATCTGAAGCAAGTGTGCTGTACTTAAGAAAAAGGGTGGAATTGTAAAAAAAAGAGAGATTTTCTTGTTTCTTGGATCTTTCAAACTGTTGCCTGTGTCATTCCATGAGTTTAGGGAATGTACTGGGCAGAGAAAACTTATCCTAAGGTTACCAGACGTCCCCGTTTCCCGGGGACAGTCCCTGGATTTACAAGTCAGTTCCCTGACAAAATCCATCTATTTAGTAGGAAGTTGAAAAGTGTCCCCGGATTCACTGAAAAAAATCTGGTAACCTTAAGTTATCCAGGTCAGAGGCCGTGAAATAAGACTAATATTATCAAAAATTATCAACAGATAGATTGCTTGTGTGTCTTTTCTGCATTTAGGTGTTTAGATAATGCTGCACTTAAAAATGATATCCAGATTCAGTAACCACAAACTTTAATGGAGTTACTAGCACTTAGTGGGTAAATTAGTAAAACTAATTAGAATGACGCAGGTACAAGAAAACATTGAAATAATCAGACCAATAAATTAATTAATATCCAAGGTTTCAGAGATTCTGAAAATTTGTGCAGCTGTAAATTACAGTTTGTCCATTAAAACAGTGGAATAGAGTGCATGAAGTACCAACTTCAGCAATGACACCTTAAATAGTAAAATGGATCTGTACAGGTATACATCCTAATATGTATACGCTTTTGCCTCTTCTAGTGGAATAAATGAAAAGCTGATCCCTCATACTTTAGATAGAATTTACAGATAAATGACTTTAGATTTTTGACTGGTATGAGCAGAAAATATTTGTATGACATCTAGTTGCAGTCTAATTCAGGGGTCTTTGAGTACCATAAAATGAACATAACATCAGAACTTGTTGTTATTATTTACATTGTTTTTATGCTATTTATTATTGCTGCCTGAGTTTAGATAATATCCATGAGACAGGAAAGCCAACTTGATCTTAATAGCAAAAGTAATATATGGTAAGCTATGAAAAATGATGTGGAAAAGTATACAAAGAACAAATTCTGTCCAAAGAAGGCCACCCAATTGCCATCATTATTAATTTATAATTTTGCAACCTTCAGAAGAGTGGATAAATGTATTTAGTCAATTTTCAGAAGCAAAAGATAGACAAAGATCTCAAATTGTACAATTAACATTAGGGGTTTTTTTTCTACAACAGCTGAAAAATCTTCAGTTACATTATTTTAGAAAATTCACATTAAAAATAGTTGTGTAACCATTGCCTGGTACCTGAATTTTGTAACTTGCTGGACTAAGTAGTACTTTCCTCCTGACGTGTGTGGTTAAACCTGAAAAGGTTGAAAGTGAAGAGTGCTCACAATGTTGTCTTTTTAATTCCTAGGTTGTTGGGGTTGTGTTTTTTTTTAAAAAAAGGCTTCAGACTAGAAGACAATCTATTTCAGATCTCTCTCTTTTTGGCTTTTTAATTCACATTGAGCTCTTTTCCTTTCATTATATTCCCAGGAAAATGTGTGACTTTTGCAGAGTCCATTTCTCTTTATTTCCCGAATCTCTAGATGTATGGATTGAAAACATCACCTTTCCACACACACCCTCCCATGCCCAACATTAATTATTTTCCGAATGGCAAAAACAAAGACTTTTTTCTTCCTATTAAATAATAATAAAAAAAGTATTTCAGTCATGTTACTAATGTTGATAAAAGTAGGAAAATATTTTTGAAGAGGTTTTTGTTTTTTGTTTTGGTAAAGGGCTTGGGCTTGGAAGAATATGTTGAAAGAGAATTTAATCCACTATTCCTAAAAATGGCTGTTTATTACTGTTGTCTTAATTGTACTCCTTCTAGACGTAATGATTCAGCCAGCCTCATCATTTGTATCATATTCCTCTGGATTTATCTGTCAGAGAAACAGAAGACCCTTGTGGATTATTATTTTTCATATAAAGATCTACTACTTTGCTATTTTGAGGTCTATCTAAAGGAATCAGAGGCATTGTAGTTCAGGTTCTTTTTTTAACAGAGCAGTGTAGTATAAAATTTTATCAACTCACCAAACATTTTATGGCCCACTCTCTTGTATGTACTGAAGTGTCACTGAGTCTGGCAAACTACTCATATGGAAAGAATTGCTTCCTGCCCTGGGCAGGTGACTAACTGAAAGTTGGTGGACGATACTGTTCAGAATGTCATTCATACAACAGAGAGAAAATTATTTTTTGTTCAGAAGGTACTTACTAGTTGAGAACTGATTTCCTTGATAGTCTGTTGAGGTTTTTTAATAGGTTTTTTGTCGTTACTAATTACGAAGATGTGATATTTTGTTGATGCCTTTTTGCAGCTCTCTGGTTTTGTGTGTTGTTGTTTTTTAGCTTGAGTTCTGGTGTGGTAGTTGAATCTATATTGTAGCTAAGGAAATGTTTTTGTGTTCATGATTTTAATAATTTTCCATTTCTGTAAGCTGATTTAATTTGTAAATGGAATAAGGTTATATTTGCATGTCCTACGATGTGCTGTAGGCTTGTGAGGTCCCCAACCCCCCTTGCCTTTAGGTAAAGGGCTTTTCATCTCATTCTTTTAGTATATTTCAAGTACCTTCCTTTTAAAAAAAATTAATGTAATGTACTGTAGGGCAGTGTCATGAAAATTAGAACAGCAAGGGTGCATGATTCATATATTGTGTTCAAGATGTCCCCATAATTTATATCTAGAACACTAACTACATCACAGACAGAAGTCGCTTATTTATCAAGTGACGAAAGTAAAGTTCAGATGAGGCCACAGATACTCATGGTGCACACAGTGTTGATTTATTTTCTAAACAGACCATGGGTAATTAATCATAAAATCAAACTTTGCTTTAAAGCTCACATAATGTCATTAATTTTGGTTACATACAAGGAATTATTCAGGATAATGAGTCATTCATGTCCAGCTACAGCTAGCTAAGGCAAAGAAGGCCAAATTCCAGACCAGCTTGACAAATATATCACTACAGTGCTAAACTCAGAAGTAAGAGACTCTGATGTAGCTTCAGCACAGTGAGAAAATGCATATGTTACATCTGATCCCATTGCAATATCACTATTAAATCTTTCTAAGGGTGAACCCCAAATGCACCCTGTTCATCTGAATAAATTGTATGGTTCCCTTGACTTGCTTCTGTTTGTGTGCAGTGGTGTTCACTTGAGGTACTTAAGCTACTTCTTTTGATGAGGCTCTTGATCTTCATTAGATAGATAGCCTGATAATGTCAAGAGCTTTATCTTTTGAGGCTGTGGACACAAGCCTACCTGACCATGTTGAAGGTTATAATAGCCTGTAGCTGTGATCCAGCAGAGGTGGTTTGTGAACACTGTGGAGAAAGAAGCCTGTATACTTGCACTTTTCTGGATAGTAGGAACACCTTCCTTGCACACTGTGCAATTCTGTAAGTGTTTGCTTGTCTTTGGCTGAC